ACCGTTGTAAATGCCCGACAAGGTATGAGGGAGACGGGAAAAATAATGGAACAAGATGCAGTTCCAAATCAAGGAAAGTGCTCATATTGATCATTAAATTGAGTGAGTACAACATGTTATATTCTTGATTTCAGTTCATTCATAACATGATCATATCAACAAGTTTACTACCACAATGAAGATTGTTGAAACTTGAAAAGCATTTCATTTGCAATCTACAACATTAGTCAATGTTGTAAAATGTTGTTCTTAACTGAAATTCATATACCATAGATATTCAGCCCTTCGAGATCAGAACAGTAGCAATTTGAAATTTTGACTAATGTCTTTGAATACATGAACTTGACTTGAAACATCAACAGAGCAGAAAGAAAGTGATTCTGTTTCCATTTGTTTATGTCCAGGTGTAAGCATAAGCCTTGTCACGCTTTTGGTTGGAAGCTTTTATGCTTATTTGGCATTGAAGAAAAGAAAGCTTGTTAAACATAAAGAACATTTTTTTCAACAAAATGGTGGCTTACTATTACAACAACAGGTAGGGATGGACAGAGGGTCAACTGAAATAGCTAAAGTCTTCACTATTGAGGAGCTAAATGAAGCAACCAACAACTTGGATGAAAACAAGATCCTAGGCCAAGGTGGTCAGGGAACAGTTTACAAAGGGGTTTTACAAGATAAATGAATTGTAGCAATAAAAATGTCCAAAATCAATGACCCAAACCAGATTGAGCCATTTATTAATGAAGTAGTCATTCTTCCAAAATCAACCATAGAAATGTGGTAAAACTCTTGGTTGTTGTTTAGAGACAGAAGTTCCCTTGCTTGTTTATGAATTCATTCCCAATGGCACATTATACGAACATCTTCATGATCAAAACCAATCTATAAACCTTTCATGGAAAACAAGATTAAGAATAGCAAAAGAAACTGCTGGTGTCTTGGCATACTTACACTCTACTGCTTCTACACCAGTCATACATAGAGATGTGAAATCTACAAATATACTACTAGATGACAATCTCACTGCAAAAGTTTCTGACTTTGGAGCTTCACAGATTGTTCCACTAGATCATACTCACATAACAACTCTAGTGCAGGGGACAATGGGGTATCTTGACCCAGAATACTTTGACACAAGCCAGTTAACAGAGAAGAGTGATGTTTATAGCTTTGGGGTTGTCTTAGCAGAGCTAGTGACCGGAAAGAAGGCATTCTCTTTTGCCAGGCCAGAGGAAGATAGAAACCTTGCAGTGTACTTTGCTTCTTTAATTAAAGAGGGTCGGTTACTTGATATTTTGGACAGGAATATAAATGAGACAAATATTGAGAAATTAAAGGAAGTTGCCGATATTGCAGAAAGGTGTTTGAGAAGGGTGAGGAAAGACCCACCATGAAAGAAGTGGCTATGGAACTTGAGGGAATATTTGTCATTGAAGAGCACCATTGGGAAAGAGACAACATGTCTTCAGGAACGCCATTCATTATCAATGTTAAAGATAGCGCCGGTGGAAGTGGCATTAGTTCTTCAAGCTCATATAGCATAAACCAAACTTCAATGTCATTGATTGGTGGAAGATGATTAGTTTGCATAGGCAAATGTTACATCATAGTTATGTTAGTATTTCCTCTTTCGCCACTGGGATTTGAACCTCAATCCTTTACCTCTTTCAATTCCTAAACTCTTAGCTCAAATTAGTTAAATCATCCAATTCAGTATGTGTTGTATTTCACCATTGTATTGGACATGATATTCATATTATTATCAATCTAAATCTAGGGTTTTCAATTGAGACTAATAAGTTTCTCGAACAATGTTACTAAATGATTTTTCACTCTAAAATCAAAATTAATTCCATTACTACGTTGAATTGATTCACGAGGTCTTCAAGTTTAAAGAAAAACTGCAACTTGAATTACGAATCTATGGCATTTGCAGCTATATGAATATAAGATATCTATGACTATGATAATTAAGAGCTAACTAACCGTAGCGGGCTTCGTGTATGGGAAGAATATTAACAGTGTAATGAGATGAAGATAAAGCATGTTTATAATCATCCATTGTTGATCTCTGCGTGAGCCTTTCAAATTGAGCAGAGTTAGATGGAAAGAAAAACTGATAGTAGGTAGCGTGGGGGTTAATACTGTCGAACTAAATAGAGAGGGAAAAGGCAGAGAGTAGAGTAATGTTTATCTCAAATAATTTTCGAAGAATAACTACATTATATTTTTTTATGGTGGCTTCAAAGGGGAGGGTTTCACCAAATTTCTCATGGGTGATGCAGAGAAATTAACCTGCCACACAAAAACCCCCTCCCACTTATTACCTCACACACCCCAATTTTGTATGAATAGACCAACTAATTATAAAAATAAAAATAAAATTTCCAAAATTTAAAAATTTACGGGTTAAAACTGAAATTTTCAAATTTCAAAAGAAGTGAGTATTCAACCGAAATTTCTAAATTTATATTATTTTGTATCGGAAATTTAAAATTTTCTATATTTTTTATTTGAAATTTTAAAATTTTTGATATTTTTTATAGTAGAATATTTTTTATCAGAAATTTTAAAATTTTCAATTGTTATAAAATCTTAGTTTTGTATCCAAAATTTTGAAATTTTTGATAATTATATAAATTTAGTTTTATATTGAAAATTTAAAAAATTTTGGTAATTACAATTTCTTTTTTTTAATATTTATTTTTTTCTTTTTTTAGTATTATTGTAGAGAGAACTGTAGATCGCATCAGACTAAGATAGGTTTTTTGCACGTTGACTCGGCCAAATTTCCTTCAGCTTAATCTTGTTATCCAAGTTCTGCTCAACCTCCATAATTTCGTTAATATTATCCTCCATTAGCTTCCCCTTTCTAATCTGTTCCAACTTTTCTTGAGCTAATTTTTTATTATTAGTGATGTTACCAAACACAGCTTTGCCCAAATCATGCACTATTTGCTTGAGCTTGCTAACATGATCCCCTCGGGCTTCGGGCATTGCCCAATAACTGCTGTACTGTTTGCTTACTGTTTTCATTTGTGGTCCATATTTTTTCAAACTTTAAATTGTTTCTTTTGTAGTGATTGTACTTGCAAGTGTTAGTAAAGCTAAAACCAGTAATATATGGCAATGGTCAGAGGCATGTCTAAGTAAGTGAGTGTTAGATTAGTCTTGAAAATTTTCCATCCATTTCTTAGAAACCAAAAACCTATTCAATATAGCCTGAATATAATTTTTATCCAACTGGTTACTAGACCAAATAAACATATTTTCCAAAATACCAACATCATTCAGGTTACGGCCACTATTTCGAATAATCTCTTTTATTTCGGTTGAAAAATAAATTTTGCTTCAGTTTCATAAGAAAGTTAACGAAAACGTCATGAAAACTTGTCACTTTATTCTCGGATAAATTTCCATCAAAAAATAAAATAAAATAAATCATGAGTTCGATCTCCAATAACAATATTTTTTGAATTTTCAAAATTCTTTTCTCTTTTTATTAAGAGAAATGATACAGTGACACCAAAATTAACATTTATTCCGTATTTTTATTCTATACAACCTACTTTTTTATTTTATTTATTATTTTTATTGAAATTGGAATTTGTTCTACAGTCAAAATGAAGTTGAGCAATTACGGTGTAAGGTGTAAGCATGTGGTGTAATAATTAATTTTGTCATTATGGGAAAAGATATTTTTACACTAAGTTTAACACTTACACCGTATAAGTATATATAATATATACTATTTTTCTTTTTTTAATAATTACTTTACCTTGATTTCTGTGCAAAAAATTTGTTACTTTGTTGTGCATCTACGGTGTAGGTACGGTGTATATACCAAGCAGTGTCAAAATAGCAAGCCTCTTGTTAATATAGTATAATCTGTCATTAAAATAAGAAAAATGCTATTCCTACACCATTTCCTACACCCAATACTTACACCGTATGCACTATTCACCGTATTTATACGGTGAACAGTGTTTTTTTTATTAAAATAATATATTTTTTTAAAATATTAATTTTTTTTTTAAAAAAGTTTTATTTTTAAAATTTATTTTATAACACAAATATAAGATTGCGCATTAACCAACTTCACAGTTGCATTAACCACAAAAATCTACATTATTAACCAATTATTTTACCTATAATTTATTAACCACTTTCACTACTTCATTAACCAATAAAATACACACTATTAACCATGTTCTGGGGAATTTGTTCAAGTATTTGTGAACAGTAATTGAGGTGTAGGGTGTAAAGATGGGTGTCAACATAGCAATCCTGTTAAAATAAACTTTATAGAGGTAACTAAAGAGAGACAGAAGTACTGTAAATTCAAACTAGCCATCAAAGATATCAATATGTCCTCGTATCCTTTTACAATACCTTATGGCTATGCGACATTTTATTACTTTTTTCTATTCACAATGGAGTAGCTATTAAAAGGAACAAAAAAAATATCATGATTTGCATGTACAAATCATAATTCACTATTCTTAATGGCACATGGATTAATTTACTGGTTTAAAACTAGCCAATTAATTAGCATATAATAAGTTGAACTACTATAAAACTGCACGTTGGAAATTTAAGCGTGAATAGTAAACTATCCTGCATTAGATAGAGATGATATATAGAAAAATTCAGAGTCATATATATATACTTCCAATTGTGGAAAAATGTGTGGTAAATTCCAAGATCAGCTTGGACCACTTTGCATATATGCAGTTAAGCACAATGATAATCGTACTTCTAATAGCATGGGCCACTTTGCATATACAAATTAATTTTTCATTATAACTATTGATTAATATTAGACAAAATCATGTTTTATTTGAACATTCCATTCCGTAAAACAAAAATCAGCAATTTTAACTTTGCTCTTCTTAAATAGCACTAAGTTCAATGAGAAGAAATTAATACTAATTAAACAAAATCCAAGAATTTGTATATATATGTATAACGATGAACCAGAAAAAATAGCAAGTTAAGCCATGTCTTTGCAGTACTCAAAACAGCTGCTGCTGATTGTGGTTGTTGCTGTCTTTCATACAAAAGCAGTAACTCAACCGATCTCACGTCCAAACTGTCCAACAATGTGCGGCTCAGTCACCATTCCTTTTCCATTTGGAACCACCAAGGATTGTTCCCTAGACAACACTTTTCTCATCAACTGTATCGAAACATCTTCAACTACATCAAACTCAACAACACAGATACCTTTCTTACCAAACACTAATCAAAGTGTCTTAAATATTTCACTTGATGGTAAACTCCGCGTTGCATGGCCAGTAGCCAGAGATTGCTATGGTGAAAAGGGTACATTCATGAGCCGAACATTTCAGAATATCAACATGATGCATTTTCCCATCTCGCCAACTCGAAATAAGTTGATAGCAATTGGCTGTGACACAATTGGAGTATTCTTCGCAATGGATTCTGGTGGAGAAACATACACGAGTGGGTGTGTGGCTTTGTGTAACAGGCGTGATGACATTGTGGCGAATGAATCTTGTTCTGGCACTGGCTGTTGCGAGGTTTCAATACCCCAGGGTCATGTGTTAACAGAAGTAGTCTATGCATCTCAAAGCATATTCCACAACCACTCCTTAGTACATAACTTCAATCCATGTGGTTACGCCTTTTTGGTTGAAAATGGATCATACAGGTTGACATACAAAGACCTCCTCAAGTTGGAGAAGAAGGAGTTTCCAGTGTTGTTGGATTGGGCAATCCGGAACCAAACGTGCGAGCAAGCAAAGAAGGATGATTCAAGTTATGCATGTAAGGCTGACAAAAGTACGTGTCACAATGCTGGAACCGAAAAATCTGGTTACCTTTGCAGATGCCTTGATGGATATCGGGGAAATCCTTACCTCAATCACGGTTGCCAAGGTATTATATAACACTTTTTATCTCTTGTTTGGTATAAATTCCAATTTTTCAGAAAAATGGGATTTTATTTATAATTTTACATAGTAACATAACAATTGTTCATTGTAAACTACACTGCCTAGTGAAAACAGAAATCGAAACTAACAAATTACTCTTTAGATATTAATGAATGCATGGAATTCAATGACTGTGTTAAGGGAGCAACATGCAATAATCTTCCACCAGGAAGCTATCATTGTAAATGCCCGACAGGATATGAGGGAGACGGGAAAAATAATGGAACAAGATGCAGTCTCAAATCAAGAAAAGAGCACATGTTGATCATTGCATTGAGTGAGTACAACACATTCTATTCTCCATTCATTCATAAGATAATAAATAACATCAAGCCGGGCAAAGCAGAAAGAGAACTGCATCACGTCGTTTAAGATTAATTTACCAACTTTGCAATTGGAATCGGCTCATTTCAAATCAATAACTATAACTGCATGACATTTTTCAGTAGGTAGTTCAAGTCTAGAGAAAATGATTATATTTTTCATTTGTTTATGTCAGGTGTCAGTGTAAGCGTCGTAGCACTACTGATGGGAAGCATTTATGCACATTGGGCATTGAAGAAAATAAAGCTCATTAAACTTAAAGAGCAATTTTTTCAACAAAACGGTGGTTTACTCTTGCAACAACAGCTAGTGAAGCATGGAGGGTCAACAGAAACAACTAAAGTCTTCACTGCTGAGGAGCTAAATAAAGCAACCAACAACTTTGATGTAGAAAATATCATAGGCCAAGGTGGTCAAGGAACAGTTTACAAAGGAGTTTTACAGGATACCAGAACCGTAGCAATAAAGAAGTCCAAAATCAATGACTCAAGCCAGATTGAGCCGTTCATCAATGAAGTGATCCTGCTTTCTCAAATCAACCATAGAAATGTCGTAAAACTCTTGGGTTGTTGTTTAGAAACAGAAGTACCCTTGCTTGTTTATGAATTTGTTTCCAATGGCACTGTTTATGAGCATCTTCATGATCTAAACCAATCTTTAAACCTTACCTGGAAAACAAGACTAAGAATAGCAAAAGAAACTGCTGGAGTCCTGGCATACTTGCATTCTGCTGCTTCTACACCAATCATACATAGAGATGTGAAATCTACAAATATACTACTAGATGACAATCTCACTGCAAAGGTTTCTGACTTTGGAGCTTCGAGGATTGTCCCTCTTGATAAAACTCAGATAACAACTCTAGTGCAGGGGACAATGGGGTATCTTGACCCAGAATACTTCCAAACAAGCCAGTTAACAGAGAAGAGTGATGTATATAGCTTTGGGGTTGTTTTAGCAGAGCTACTGACAGGAAAGAAAGCATTGTGTTTTGGCAGGCCAGAGGTAGGTAGAAACCTTGCACTGTACTTTGTTTCTTCAATGAAAGAAGGTCGGTTATTTCATATTCTTGACAAAAATATTGATGAGCCTAATGTTGAGCATCTTAAGGAAGTGGCACTAATTGCAGAAAGGTGTTTAAGGGGGAAGAGTGAGGAAAGACCGACCATGAAAGAAGTGGCAATGGGACTTGAAGGAATATTAGTTATTGAAGAGCAGTGTTGGGGAAGTGACAATTTAACTTCAGAAGAGACTGAAAACATGCTCAACGCAGCACAGTCTGTTATCAATGTCGAAGATGGTGTAGGTGGGAGTGGCATTAATTCTTCGGACTCGTGTAGCATAAACCAGATTTCGATGTCAGTGATTGGTGGACGATGATAAGTTGATTTGTGATATTGACTAGATGGTATGCTTTCACTTTTAAGGGACTGTCCTGAAGTCAACTTATTTTCATAAGCTATCCTGAAGAGTTTATGGAAATAAATCGAAAACAATTTATAGACATGTCATAAGCTGCTTTTATGAGTTTAATAATTTCACTAGTATATGTTTCAGTCACTAGTCACTACATGAGCTCAAATAAGCATACCATCCTAAGCTTTACTCTAGTGTTAGTCTAAATGGCTTTCATTTCTAATGGAGTGCCAATAGGGTGTATTATCTTTTAAGTTAAATTAGGAATTGGGATAATGTTACAAACATCAAGTGATGGATTTCTTGAAGCTATAATGAAATAGTTATGGTGATTGTGTACCACATAAAATTCATTTAAGGTAATCTTGTTAAACGAACTCAGTTGGTAGTAGTAGGGATGTAAATGAATATTTATGTGGACAAATATTATGATATTTATATTTGTCCCGTTAGATAAATATAATATACATATCCACTCCATATCCATGTGGATATCTATTAAACGAGTAATCCGCGAGTTTCACGATATCGACGGATATTTACAGATATCCACGGATATTTATAGATATTCATGGTTAATATTTTTTTTATAAAAAAAATCTGAAAAAAATATTTTTAACTTCTTTTTAAGACACAAAAAATTATTATCACATAACATCCATGCAATTCGCTTTTAATTTAATAATAAAATTTTATCATATTAATTTTCTCCTTATTCACCAAAATATAATATTCATACATTTCATTTTTAACCAAACAAATAAAAGATATTATGATTGTGAGTTATGATGGAAGATCGGATGACAGAGGAGTAGGAAGGAAGACACTAGTTCGACAGAGAAATGATGATATTAGTTGGTTGGACTGTAAAATTGAAGTATCGAAGAATTTAAATATGAAATGGCAAATAAAATTTGAATGAAAAGTGAAAGGTTTTTTTTAAGAAGTATAAAAAAAACTATTTTTTTAGAAGATTTAAAGATAAGGTATAATAAACTAATAATATTTAAATAAATTTTATAATTTATAAACAGATACGAATATCTGCGAATATGGATATCATTAAACTCATATCCATATCCATTAACAAATAGGTATTTAAATATTCATTTATTTTATCTGTGGATATTCATTAAGTTATTCGCCTCATATCCGTGACGAATTAATAGTAGTACAAGAACATTAAATGCATGAGTGTGAGTTCGCACCTCCGACTTCTTAATTATTCACCTTTAAAAAGTGAATTTCACTCACTAAATTATTTGACAAAAATAAAAAATAAAATTCATTTACAATAGTGTGATATCAAAATTAATTAATGTTTATATCATGCATTTCAACTATTTCCATATTGTAACAAAACAAAGCAAAGCAGCCAGAAAGCAGGAACATTTTCGGAGAGATGAGGATTTAGACGTTCATAATACTATAATAGAGCCTTATGTTTCGTATCATTGCACTTAGAGCATAGTTTACAGAACTAAAACAAAATAACAAGATCAAAAGTAAATTTTAATAAAGCAACAAAAAATGATCAAAAATCTTATAAACTCATGAACGAGAAAAAGAAACCTGCAATTATGGTGCTGTGGTGGTGGATATCGTCGGAGGAAGAAAGGGAAAAGGGGGCTGAGAACACGACTGCAGTGAGAATCCATTATTGAATTTTAACTTTTAAATTTATTTAATAATTAATGTGTTTACATATATAAGCCTAAATTAATTTTACAATGTGAATATGTAATATCTAGTATTCCTATTAATATTCTATTTGTTTTTAGTTGAGATTAATTGAATTCTTATATATATATATATATATATATATATATATATATATATATATATATATATATATATATATATATATATATATATATATATATATATATATATATATATATATATATATATATATATATATATATATATATATATATATATATATATATATATATATATATATATATATATATAAAGTAATAACTAAAATTATAAGAGTTTAATTATTATTTAATTTAATTGGTATTTATTAATTACTAAAAGAAAGAAATATTTTATATTAATGAATGGTCAATTACTGTAGAAATGTCTCTCTTAAGATATATTTTTTTTATATTTTTTTTCTTTTTAGCCAATCATTTATTAGTCGGAGAAAGAAGAAGAAGATAGAAAGAGAAGAAGAAAATAAGAGAAGAGAAAAAAGAGGAAAGAAGAAGAAAATTTGGAAGAAGGAAGAAGTGTGAATCATCACATCTCATCTTGAATCTTTCATCATCTTTATCAATCTAAGGTGGATTTTAGGTAGTCCTAGCTTTTAGGAGAAGTTTTCGTGGTAATAGGGTCAGAGTTTGTGTGTTTACTTGATCATGAAGTTTGTTGCTCATACACATGATGTCCTTGTTATTTTACTTGCCTATTTGTGTCATTCCATGATCTCCATATTTTTGTTTGATGTAACATGGTGTTTTGAGGTGTTGTTGTTACTTTAACTTCCTCATGTTACTTTTTCTTACTGGTTGAGTTTTAGTATTCTCGCTAGGCGAGCGTAACGGTAATAGAGGGTGGAAGTTTTCTGCTAAGCTTGTTAGGCGAGGGTGAGCCTTGCTAATCGAGGCAAATGATTTTTGAGAAAAATGTATTTTTGTCTGGCCTCGCTTGGAGCTCGCTTAGCTTAGAGACCAAGTTTCGGTCTCGCTAGGCGAGGAAGGGAAAAATCCAAAGGTTTTATCTTTCTGCCTCGCCTAGAGCTCGCCTCAAGCTCGTTGAGCAAGGGTTCTGATACTTTAAAAGGTCGGTTATGTTCATGTTTCCACCATAATTCAGAAACCGTAACTCCAATTTACACGATGTTTGAAGCATTGAAAAGTTAGTCCAATGTATTATCATATGGTAAAAAGAAACCATGATTATAGACTAAGTATTGCTTGGTGAATTATGATGATTATTATGGGTGCTTCATGAACTATAATATGATATGTATACTTGTATCGAATGTATGATTAAAGTCTTGTTATAATGAGTGAGGTAACCTAGGGATAATGACTAGGTGAATGAACTAGTAACAAATACTTAGAGTATGAACATGACTTAAATGATGATGCTTGGACGCGAAGGTGCCTCAGTGTGTACCGCGGACGAGTAATCACTTGATTTGTGAATCAAAAGGCTTTGTATGGAACATGTTGTGATGATATGAGAATTTTGGTGAATGTGATCACCTAGTGATAGATGAGTACAATCACGATGATGTTGAGAATTAGTCACGTATTCTGAAATTATCTTTGATCATGCACATCCCAATTGAGATGCTTATGTAAAGTAGAATTGGAGATGTGACACCAATTATTTGTGCCTCACAATGGGTTTGAGTCTCAAATATGGATTGAGTTCATAGAGGAGAGGTGGACCTCTAAGTGGGTTCAAGTTCCAGATGGAAGAAAGCTACTCATAATGACATGATAAACACTCTCTTAGAAGGTACAAATAGCATGGTTAATCTTTTATTTGAGCAAGAAAGGTCTATTCTCTTGATTCTCACCAAGGAATCGAGCGAAGGATTGAGTGTTGCGCAAATCCTTATAGTCTGCAGCTTTCCTGAAGTTTTCCATGAGGACGTCATTTCTCTTCCTCCAAAAGAGAAGTGGAATTCTCTATTGATCTTGTATCGGGAACCGATCCTATCTCGCCTGCACCATATCGTATGTCACCAATGGAACTTAGAGATTTGAAGATCCAGTTAGAAGATTTACTGCTTAAGCATTTCATCCATCTGAGTATTTCATCATGGGGAGCCCCACTGTTGTTAAAATAGAAGAAAGATGGTGGGATGCATTTGTGCATTGATTACAGCCAGTTGAATAAGGTTACTATTAAAAACAATACCTTGGATAGACAATTTTCTAGTTCATTTGAAAGGAGCCTGTGTGCTCTCAAAGATTGATTTACAGTCGAGCAACCCTCAAATTCAAGTTAAGAGTTATGAAAAACCGCAGAGTTTAGAACCTGATATGGACATTATGAGTTCCTCGTGATGTGATTCAAAATGGCGAATGCACAAGTGGTCTTTATGGATTATATGAACTGGATATTCTAACCTTACTTAGATTAGTTAGTGGTGATGTTAATAGATGACATCCTTATATATTATCATACTTTACAAGAGCATGAGGAAAATTTAAAGATTGTTCTGTTTGTAATGCAAGAAAAGCAACTTTTTGCAAAGTTGAGCAAGTGTGAGTTTTAGTTAACTGAAGTGAAATTTCTTGGTCATGTGGTATCACAAGGAGGTGTAGCTATAAACCAATCTAAAGTTGAAGCAGTTATAGATTGGGAAAGGTTGAATAATGCTTTCGAAGTTAGAATTTTCCTAGGATTGGAAGGTTACTATAGGAAGTTCATTAAAGGATTCTCATATATTTCCTTGCCAATGACCCGACTTACTTGGAAGGAAAATTCTTTTAGCTGGGATACAAAATGTGAGCAAATTTTCTTCAGGTTAAAGGAGAAGTTGAATGCCGCACCTGCGTTGATCATTCAAAATCTTAATATACTGTATAAAGTGTTTTTTGATGCCTCCAATAAGGGACTAGGTGGAGTATTGATTCAAAATGGTCAAGTTGTAGCATACGTATCTCGACAGTTGAAAACTCATGAAGAGAACTATTTGACACATAACCTTAAGTTAGCAACAGTTTTGTTTACTTTGAAGGTGTGACATTGTTATCTTGAAATACATGTTTGATCAGATGGAGTTGAAGATGCGACAGAGAAGATGGATGGAATACTTCAAAGACTTTAATTTTGAATTAAAGTATCATCCGGGTAAGGCAAATAAAATGGTTGATGCATTAAGTTCGAAGGAAATTCGCAAGGCTGAATTAATGATGTTGGAGTATGATTTGTTAGAGAAGAATCATTAAAGAATGTGTGTAAGGTAACGTCTGTCTAATCACAAGGGATAACCG